AACTGTCAAGTTACTCAGTCATTCTGTGCCTCACTTTCCCCATCTGTGAAATGGTAGTAATGATAATAGCAGGGATTCAGGAAATACTTTGAAGCGAGCCCTTTGTACTATGGTTAAATAAGAAGCTGTCTCCAAAGAGCAGGTGAAGTTTCTGGAATCCTATGCTTTTGTGCATGTATTCCAGGGACAGCAGGTGTGGACACATTTGACAGTGAGAACTTGACTTTTTAGCCTCATTGCCTTGAAGTGTGTGTGTGGAATATGGAGGCCACGCGGAGCAGTGCAAAGAGGGGGTACTAGTTTCCTAGTAACCCAACCAAGAGCCACAAACTCGACGGTGGCTTCAAGGAGCACACCATGATTGCCTGCTGCGCTGCAGGTTGTGCTGCTGAATCAGGGCATCCACAGGGCCACGCCAGTTCTGAGGTTTCTGGGTGGGTTGTTCTTGCCTCTCGCCATGTCCCAGGGCACCCGCCATCAGTGGCAGACCTCGGTTTGTAGCAGCAACAGTTCAATCTCTGCCTCCGCCAGCTCTTTGCAAAGACTCATGATGTTGTCCTCCCTCTGCTCTGTCTCGGTGTCCAAAATTCCCTTTTCTTTTTTTGTAGGGACACCAGTCTAGTTGGCTGAGACCACCCTAATAGCCTCATCCTAACTTGATTGTCTGCAGAGTCACTATTTCCCGAGAAAGTCCCAGTCACAGGTCCCGTTGATTCAGACTTGAACATCTTTTGCAGGAATACAATTCAACCCATAATAGAGAAAGAGGGGAGGGCAGTGAGGGAGAGGAGAAGGTTGGAGAGAGTGAGGGAGCAGGTGCCAGCCCGTGTACCCAGGTCACAGGAGCAGGACTGTGCTGAGCGCAGCCCTGCCACTATGACAGCCAGGTGCACATCTGTCCCTGGGCCTGGAGATGCCCCAGCAGAGGCCAAGGCACTGAGCCCCACTCCCTGCAGTTGACTGGCACCCCAGAACACAGAACATACATTGAAATGAATGACCAGGGTGCTGCTTTCTGGAAAGCTAGCACCCAAAGGAAGAGGGACCTTTGGTCCCTCCCAGCACAGCCATCCAGAACCTACCTCTTTTCCTGCAGAGGGTAGGAGGAGGGAGTGAGCACCATGCCTTTCTTCCAGATACCAGCCAGCAGCATTCCTGGGGGTGGAGGAGGGCCAGGGCAGCCAGGCCCTTGGGTCCTGTGCTGAAAATACTTAGAGGCTGGCCAGGGTTTATGGTTCACTTGTTTGGGAGTGGAGAAAAAAAGAGAAAGAAGAGGGATCCCTGCAACTGACCCAGGCTCTGGAGGACCAAGACCATACTCTTCAACCCCCCCAAAGGACGTTCCCAGAATTTGCAAATGTATTTCTATGAAAATCATTGCAAAGATAAACAAATTCAATCATACTCAGTTGTACATTTAATGAACTGTCATTTGGGGGAAAATGATTGCAAATTGCATATAAAAAGAGATGATTCAGGGGAAAAATCAGGGACATAATGATTAAATATTTAAAATGCAGACTGACTTGGAAAAGCTGGGTCAAGATGTACTAAGGACAAGATGCCTCCTAGAGAAAGGGTCTGCCCTGGGTTAGCATCTACGTATGATAGACTCCCCTTTATTGAGTATCTATTATGTGCCAGGGGTTGTGCAGAGAGCCTTCTAGGAGAATCTCATAGTCACCCAACACCCAGAGGTGCAGCCCCAGTTCCCACTCTAGAAATGCATCCACTCAGGCTCAGAGAGTGTGAGGGGCTGGTGCAAGGTGGCACAGATGGGGGTGGCACCCAACACCCCTCTGAGCACCCACTGTGGAGGGCTCCAGACCTTGAGAGTTTCACCATCTGATCAGCAATGTCAGGACAAGAGGTCATCCGTTCTTGAGACTGCAAATTCTTTTCAAGTGAAGGACATGTTCTCCTTGAAATCATATGAGATACTATCGCACAAGACAGATGAAAGGGGAACTTGGTCCGGTTACAGCGGGAGGGAGGGTTCTTTCCTCCCCAGGAGTCCTCGGGTTCCTAGGATCAGGGACTGCCAGCACCCCTTGCAACCTATTCAGCTCACCTGTCTCATTCCACAGGTGGGAACACTGAAGCCCAGAGAGGAAGGAAATTGTGATGTGTCTCCAGGATGCGGCTTGTGGTTCGCACCCTAGTGTCCTATGCCCAGCTGCCAGGCACAGCTGTCCAGCACTCGGCCACACTCGTGAGAGTTTGGGGCCTTCAGGTCAAGTCAACATTTCTTCCAGGCGCCAGAGATAATGAAGTCTGAGTGCTCCTTGGAGGGGAGGTGAGTGCTGTCAGCAGAACGTTTCTCCCAGGCCTCCCTAACAAGGGACTAAGGCTCACCTGCCTTCAAGCCCCCTCCATTCTCTCCCGCTCTCAGCCTCTCCCCTCCCCGCGCCCCTCTTTCTCAGTTTTCTTGCTTTCATCAAAGAATAGCAAAAGGGACCCCGGAGGCCATGCCCCCTTTGTGTCGATGGAGATACTGAGGCCAGAGAAGGAAGGTCTCGCAGTGCGTGGAGGCCGTTCTCTGCCACCCAGACCGCCTGCTCTGGTCCAGAATTAAACTCGGGGTTCCCAGTGTTTCACAAGCAACACTTTTTGCCACACACTTAGGATGTTGTTCCCCAATCGTGAGATATCAGATTGTCAAGGAGATTGAGGCCAGCTAGGGTACCCCAGCTGACCTGGGAGCCCTGGGGGAGGCAGGCCTCTTTCCAGATCTCTGATCACAACTTGGAGTCTCAGTTTATTGCTAATGTGTCCTTAACACCTTTCCAGCCCTAGCTAATCTCCTTTTTCAAGGACTGGGGCCCCTGGCTCTGGCTCAGCACTCTCCTTAGGGAGCTGTATCTTCTTAGAATTTTTTTTTATTGTGGTTAAATATACATTGTTCAAATTTAATAACACTGTTTTATTTTCATTGTATTTATTTTTATGGTTACCTTCTATTTATAGTTATGTGATGCTGGTTTTCCATGTATGGTAATGATATAACATTTCTTTGTTGAAAACAAGCACATTTAAGTAAAAAAAAAAAATAACAAAACGAGAATTGATTTAAAGAAAGCTATTAAGCCGAGGTGCGCAGATAGGGCCAGATTCCCCCTGGGGGAAGGAGAAAGGCTGAGGTGTGGGAAATAGGACTTGCTGGAGCTGCCCCCCCCCCCCCCCCCCCCCGCCCCCTCAGGTCCTGCCACCCACCAGCAGCCCTCTGTCCTCTCCTGCACTCTCTCACCCCACCCCTGCCTGCTCCTTCCAATCTCCACACACCTTCAGGAGCTGCCTCCCTCCATGCCAGCCTCTGGCTTCCACCTCCCAAGTGGGCACTCTCACCCTCACTGTAGGCCATGCTGTTTCCCTCTTTAAATTTCTGTGGCGCCTCGCTCCAAGGAGCCCACACAGCCGCTCTTGCAATAGCATTCCATAAAGGCACAGCCTGTGGTTCTCAACCCAAAGGTAGGCCTCTCCCCCAGGGCTGTTTTGGCAGCTGAAGGGGTGAACATGCAGCCTGAAGCCCCTTAGACTTTTCCTTGTCCTCTTTTTACAGAACTTGCGCTGTGAGAGCTGTTTTCCCTTTGGGCTAAGCACTGCTGACTCAGGTCCATTAATAAATGGGAGATCCAGGGCTTTCCCCTTCCGGTCACACCTCTACCCCGTGACTCCCTCCTCAATCTGCTCAGTGACTCAAGGGATGGCTGAAAGAACCAGGCATCTTTGAAGCCCTTGGAGAGACGCGTCCTTTTCCTGGAATGTGGGCAAGGAAAGGCAGCAACTTCCTGGCGCTGGAAACCCTGCCCTGTGGCCTGACATCACCCACATCGCTCAGACTCTAGGGTCAACCCCTATCACTCCCTCACACCTTAGTGTGAATCAGTGGACCAAAGGGGCCTCTTGCAGAGCGTGCGTGTGCGTGTGCGTGTGCGTGTGCGTGTGTGTTCTTGACCATCCAGGGTGGGAAGGCATGGGGTGGATGCTTCGAAGCTGGGACTCAAAAAACAGTTGTCCAGGCGAGAGTGGGCAACCTGAGCCCGCCACATCCGGGTGGTCACAAGCACTTTTTCTTGGGCTGCCTCTTTGATCTGCGGGCTGGCTCTTTTGTTTCGTGGGGTCAAGTGAGATGGGTAGCTGCTCTGCAGAGGAGGTTCAGAGGTTAAATGTCTCCGCGAAGCCCTGGCTGGGGAGGGGATGTGTGGCTGTCTCAGTGGGAGAAATAAAAGGGTAAGTCCTGAGACTGGAGGCATCGGTTTGGCCCCTTGCCATCAAGTCACTGGTATTTGGTCTGGGGTCACCCCCTCTTCCTCTTGGCTGCGTGCCCCCTCTCAGTGGCCTCAGATGTCATCCCTAGCAGCCCTTGGAGGGCGAATGTCCTGGCTCTCAACAGGTACTCCCAGGAGTAGAAACCCTGGATGCAGCAGGGCGCAGCAAGGTTGGATGGAGGACCATGAGGTCTCCATTCTGCAGTCGGGCCCTGGGGGTGCAGGGAGGGCAGAGGTTGGGGGCATGGGGGAGAAGTTTGCCTGGAATGAATACTCCAGGTCTAGCTTGTCCCTCCTCCCGGGTCCCCAAAGGGTGAGGTACGCAGAGGAGCGCAGGAGGGGAGAAGAGAGAGCGTGGGCCCAGGGACACCCCCGTCGTACCCCCCCCCTCCCCGCGCCCCAGCAAGGTCTGGAGGCTGGACTGCAGGAGGAGGCCGAGGGAGGCGCGAGGGGCAGCCGCCGGAGGAGACGTGCCTTCGCGGCCAGGCAGCGGTGGCGCGCCTGGAGCCGAGGGGCGGAGGTTGGGGAGGGGGGAGCGCGAGGGGAGGGACAGCCTGGTGGCGGGGAGGTGGGGCCGCGGACAGGCGGGCGGGCGGGCGGCTGCAGCTGCCGCCGGCGTCTCCGGGGCTCCAGGCTGCGCGGCGGACGCCACGCCGAGCTCCACAGCCGAGCCCGCTGCCCGCCCGAGCTCCGGCCCCGGGGTCCCCGACGCGCGCGCCGCCCCCGCGGGGAAGGCGCAGACGCCGGGCAAGTTGAGAGCGCACCGCTGCGCCCCGGAAAGTTTCCCCCGCTGCCGCCGGTGGCGGTTGGTTGGTGCGGGGTACGGCCGGCCGCTGCCGCTGCAAGGTAGGGGGCTCCTCACCTCTGTGCTCCCGGGCGCCCCTCCGCTGCGCCCCCCGGGACTTAGATACCCCCGGGCGCGCGCCCCTCCTGGGCGACTGTTGGGCGCTGGAGTCGGGGAGGCTGTGGGGTGGGGGGTAGGGGGGAGCCTAGGACGGTCCCGGGGAAACCCAGGAACCAAGTTCTGCTGAAACTAGCATGGGGAGGGGCCGGGGAGCCGTGCTCACCCCAACACTGCCCGGGATCCGGGAGGCGGACTAGGGGCTTCGCCCTGCACAGGTGCAGCACCCCTTGGAACTGCGCGCTCTAGGTGGGCCAGTGGGGTGTGGGGTGCTGGAGAATGGTGGGGGAGAGCAGGTGTGGTTACGAGGTTGGGGTTCTAGGCAAGGGCTGTGCCCCAAAGGAGGGGGTCGCCCCACGTCATTCTGTAAAGGGCAGGTAAGGCTTATGGAACAGGAGCGAGAATCGGGTGGGAAGATTGGGGGGCGCAGCCGGGACGCTGAGAGCCCGCCGCCTTCGGGGTCCCCCGCCGCGGGGCGGGGCTGAATGGGGACACCCACTTTCCTCCAGGACTCCCCTTCACCCGTGTGCCGTGCGTGCTGTTTGGGGTGGGGGGGCTTCGTGGGGTGCTAGGTGGCTCCGAAGCTCGGTTATGTCTGGATTTAGGGGGTGTAGTTAGAGGGTTTGGAGGGTTTCTTCGCCGGGGTGGGCTCGCCCGGGCTGCGGGTGCCCGCTGGACGAGGTGGGTTGGCTCCCGCCAGGGGGCGTCCTTTCCTGGCCTTTCACCCACGGGAAGGCTGGTCCTGGTTTCTGGGAGACAAACGCGCTGAAATGCAGCGCTGACAACCACAGGACCCTCCAACATGCTTGGGGTGCGCCTGGAAAGCACCCCTCGCCCCAGCGGGACCGGGGAAGAGGGCCCGAGCGCAAGGCTGGGGTGCCGCTGTCGTGACTGCTCCGTGTGCCGGGAAGCGTGGCTGTCTGGGGTGGGTTTTTTGGGGGGACTGGCAGGGTGTATGGATGAATAAAAGATGCACCCCCAGGAAAAACATAATGGGGTGAATTTAACACTAACCGTGAATTTGTGTGGAGAAAGTGCATGGAGAATTAACTTTTTGAGATTTATTTGGAATCTGAACCCCAAGCCCCAAAATGTAAAAGTTGTACCTTTGTTCCCTGGATCTGACAGAACCTTGCCTGGTATGGGTAGGATGAGGGTAGGGGGTGGTAAATTCCCTCTTATCCATCCTCCCTTGGGGTACAAGTAAAGTGGGAGACACAGGGTGGGGGTGATGGGAGCCCCTAAAAGATTTTAGCAATCCAGGCTGAAGGGGTAGATTTCTCAGCCGCCAAGAAAAGCTCCTACCCAGGAACCTGGAGTCTGCAGGACACGTTCATTAGTCACGTCACCATTATTGGTGGAACCCTGCTTTGGGTCCCCTTTATCTGACCTCAGGTCCCCAGGAGTTGAGTCTGCAGGTCCGAGATAATGCCTTGGGAAGCCAGACAGCCTGGGTTTAATTCCTGCTCACATGCTTGGCTGGCGATCATCTGAAAAATATCCTCTCTGTCACTTATGGAGTTGTGTGACATGGGAGAGACACTGAGGAGACCGTTGTCTCCTCTCCGATTCCTTCCCTCCCTCCTGCACCCCAAGTTGAGTACAAATGAGCAAACCAGAGAGCATGCAGGGGCCTCACAGCTACCAGTGGAAGTTTTCATCTTTCTCTTTGCCAGAAACATGTGTTCACTGGGCAGTCCTCAACCCCTCTCTGCTGTCCCCAATGTCCCCTACAAAGGGGATGATTCGGGACAGTCCCCGAAAGGGAGGGGAGGTTCTTGCTTTCACTGCAGCCCCCTGACTGTTTTTGTTGGCTGCTACCAAAATTATCCAGGAGAAAGTTACCGTAAAGAAGGGCCAACATGATTCGTATTTTGAATAGAAGTGGAGGAGGAGGGAGGAGACAAGGAAAGGGTGGAGAAGACTTGTCTCTGGATATGTCTTTAAGACATTCCAGAAAACAAAAGAAGTTTTTTGTTTTGTTTTTAGTGACTTGTTTTTTTGTGAAGGGAAGACTGCCCAGCACGATCCAGCCCTGGGAACCTGGGGGTGAGCACGGGCCCCCCTGAGGGCAGACTGTGCCTGTGTTCTGCCCCTCCTCTTGCCCCCATCCTCACCCCACCTGTCCTGAAGACAAAGTGAACCCCACCCTCCACCCCCCAGGGCTGTTGGTGTCCGTGTTTGGTCACCAGCTGCTTCGAGGCAAACTCCCAGATCTCTGATTCAGCAAATGTTCACGTCTTGAGCACTCCTGTGTGCCTGTCTTCCCTGCGCACCATTCAAAAGGCCAACCCCTCACTTGAATGGGTAGGGAAAGTTCCAGGGCACATTCTAGAAGTAGATGTTAATCTGGGGTTGGAGTCAGGACACCTTGGGTGGATTCAAAAGTTCCCCTCCCCACCCCCCAAGAAAATTTGCTGTCAGCCCAGAAAGAGCTCCTGGAGTTACAGAAGAGGTGAGGTATTGATCTTCTGGGGGGCAGATTAGCAGACAGGGTGCTGAACAGGGTCAGGTATGGGAGGGGCGTATCAGGCAGGGGGTTATGACAGGCATTTGTGGGAGGTGGTCTGCAAGGGAAGAAGCAGCAGATTCCAAATGCACCGCTTCTGGATCATCAGTGTGATCGTTCCCAGTCTGTGAAAAGAAGGGTGTTAGCCCAGAAGATTCTGGAAGAGAGAATTGCAACTTAAGTTGGGAGAGTTAAACTTTTAGGGTTCTAGACATCCCCACTCTGTGATATTTGCTCCAGTGGTGGGCCCCTCTCCTGGCTGTCATCCTCCAACCTCTGCTGCCCTTACACGGCAGAGTGGACCAGGCTCCTGTGCCCCATCGGGTAGCTCGGCAGGTTTGGGTAGAGGGTGATGTGGATGACCAGTCCCACGGAAAGCCCCACTGTTGCAGGCACTCACGCCGCCTTCCTCTGAACACCCGTCCACCCCCTGCGAAGAGCAAATGTTGACGGCTTGCTCCTTTTAGGGACCCCTCCTTCCAGAAGGCTGCTCTTCTGGCCTATTTCATCAGTCATTGAGAAGGAAAATCGGGAACATTTGTTCTTGCTCAGTTGGGATGTAGCAAAGGGAGGGGACTTTGGAAACCATGGAGCAGACGATCTGTGGATGGAGTATTTCTGCAACCTGGTGCCACTGAGCAAACCTGCCAGCATGGGTGCCTCCTGCTGCACGGACTGGCACCTTGGACCCGCATCCGTGTCCCGGTGCGGGGGCAGGGGTGGGGGAGGAGATAATGGAACCCCTTTAAAACACACACACATATACACACACACTCACATGAGGGAGATGATGATGATGATGATGATGGTGATGATGATGATGGGGCTGGGCCCCTGTGTTCGCACAGAGCTCAGAAGCAGCTCTTTCATCTCGGTATTTGTTATGCTGACGCCCTACCCTTGTCTGTCCCCTGTCTGCCCCCAAGACTGCTGGTTTAATTAATGATTAAACAACTTGGAGATGAGCAAAAACACATTTGTTGGTTGTATGTGGGCAAACTGAGAGGCCACAGGAAGGAGTGGAGAGGTCACCGGCGCAAGATGAGGAGACTTGTGTTCTAGCCCTGCTACAAATGACGTTGTGTGACCTCAAGGAAGTCACTGTCCCTCTCTGAGCCTTAGTTTCTCTGTTTCTTTAAGCACAGCCAGTTGTTGAGGCTGCGTGGGTTCAAATGTTGGCTTTCTCCTGTGTCACCTTAGGTCATTCAATCTCTGGTGTCTCCAGTTCCTGAACTATAAAATGGAACTAATAAAAGCATGCCAGATTGTTGTGAATAGTCAACGAGATAAAACACGTTACACACGTAGCACGGTTCCTGGCACACGGCGAACGCTCACACGTACTTGCCATTGTTATTGCAATTATTACCTTCATTGCTGTTATTGTGAAGGGGGAAGCATCCACTTGGATCCTTTCCGACTTGAATATTCTGGGGTATGGTAGGGGTAGGGAGGAGGGAGGACTATGTCTATGCTTTGGGGATGGAAGATGAGGGTGAAATGCTTTTGGTTTTTTTTTTTTTTTCTTCCTTTCCCTGCCTCACGGAGGGACTCCTGAGTTAAAATCTTGCTAGCATTCTCACGATTGCCCCCTCCCCATGGTGGCAGGAAGCCCAATTCAACGTCACTGAAAACATCCTGGTTTCTGGCACTTGAGGGATGATATTTCATCAGCTAGCAGTTGCCCACCCTTCCCTCTCATCCTTTTGTTTCCCACCCTCACCCATAGTGTGAAGACCATATGTGCAGACAATGAGTTTAAGCTGATAAACAACTCTGACACCCAAATAGAAGGCCATTCTAGAGGACACTTTCGACTTTAAAATAAATAAACTGGCTCCTTGGCTATGTTGCATGATGTCTGGCCGGTCCATCTTCCCTCTTCGCCCCCTTCCCTTGCTCTGTTGCAAGGCCACAGACCGGGCCAGGTCTGCAATCTCAGGCTTGGCCATTATCAGCCTTCTCTGCTGGCACCTTCGCTGGCTTATCTTCCTCATCTTTCTCCAGCAAGGCGGGCACTCTGAGTCATCCCCGGGGGCAGAGAGTTGGGTGCACTCACCATGGGGCAGGAGCCAGACAACGCTAGCCTCACCCCTTATCTCCACCATCAGGCGTGGTTCAGCTAGCACCCCCATTCTGCAGATTAGAAAGTGAGACTCAGAAGAATCAAGACACTCAGTGGTGGGACTGGGCTGAGATGTGCTCCTAGGTTGATCTGATTGAGCATCCGTCCTGTGCTCAAACCAGTATGTGATATTTCCTCTTGTATCAAAACCTCCTGTGAGTCCCAAGGCCCCAGATATCCCTGAGATTTCACCATCCCCCTTCCTTCTTGCGTTTGATCCTCTTGCAGGCTCAGAGTGTCTTATGAGGTTTCTTTTTTCATCCTGCGTGAATTACTCAGCCATCCTGAGGCTAATCAGGGTAGGAGTTTTG